CCCCAAAACCCCAAAACCCCATAGGACATTAATAAAAATAATAAATAATTTAGAATAAATTTTTATTTAAAAAATTAAAGAAAGAAATATAAAATCATTGGCAAAAGCATAAAGAATGAGTACTTCTAGGGTCAATGAATTTGATATTTAGTCATTAAAATGAAGAAAGATCAAGATCTTCTATAATCTTCTGCTAATCACCATCAAATTTCTTAATTTTTTCAAGTAATTTTTCCTTTTAAAATCCCATTTCTTGCAATTCAATGTAGGCTTTTTGTTACTTTTCGCTTAAACCTTCTAATTATTATCTTTTCTGAGCATTATGTTATCTTGCCAATAATTCTTACACCATTCCTTATGATGAACTTCTTTAGTCCTAGAGGGATGACTACTCTGAATTAGAATTTGTATTAGATTTCTAATATTTTTGGGCATTTTAATCTTCATTATTGTATCTATTTTACTGCTCTTATTGATTTTACTTTGATGAGCTTTAGTTGCTCTGGCTTTATGAGGACATCTGAATACCCAGCAACCCATTTTCATTCATTGATTTCATCACAATAGATAGTTTATACTTAAGATTTTCAATTTCGTTTTTCATCTCTGCTTCTTTAATCTTTGATTTTTCCAATTCATTTTTCAGCATAATAAATTGTTCGAGTGTTGGACCATTACTGTATTAGGCTTAATTAGAAGCCTGTGCAATTGGTCTAGATGGAACCCCTGATGATCTTCTTACTTCATCGATCTGTTTTGATAAACTGTTAGCTATGGTATTAATCTTGTTTAACAAGTGTGCGTTTACTGTACATTGCTGGCTGAATGTTCCAACCGTCTTGAGCTACTTTATTTCTCTTTCAAGGTAAAATGGATCAAACTCTATAAGATTTTGAAGAGAAGTCTAAAATTCTCTTATTTCCTCATTAATCTCAACAATTTCTAGTTATAAGTTAACTCTAGAGGCCTCCTTGAGCATTAAAGTACTAGGATCTATCTCTGTTTATCTAAGGTTAGAAATGATTGTATGATCCTCTTAAAACTTTTTTTTTAGTTTCTCAATCTACTTCAATATCTTAGTGAAGTTTTATTGAACTCCATTTAGATGCTCATTTGCAGCAGCTCCAGCATTATCTTGAATTGGTCTACCATATCTATCTTAAGATTATGGCTAACCCTGACCAAGAGGCCCTAAATTAAAGATCTTGGGCAAAATACTGTTTGGATCAGTAAAATCATTACTAAACTGGTCGATGATTTAGAAATCAGAGCGCATCATATCCCATTACTTAAACTCCTACTCACAAATGCTCTAAGTTCTTCTAACATCATCCATTGAGACCTTTTTCTCATAGATACAGTCTGGACAAAGAAAGTTGTCAGAACTTATATGATAGAATGACAAAGGCTCAAAGTGATTGCCACATAATTTCAAATTCTAGGTCTTGATTTGCTACCCTCCTAGATTTTAGGGATTTGCTCTGTCCATAATATAGAATTATATAAATAATAGAGTTTAATTAATTTGGCAACAAAAATATCTTCTTTTTATTTATTTTGGCTCTAGGGGTTTTGGGGTTTTGGGGTTTTGGGG